CAACTCAACCACATTGCCCTCCAGGCATCTACACAGCGCGCTCAGTGTCATCAGGTGCACATTGTGGTGTCACAGCAATCATGCTCCAACACCTTATGAGATTTGCACATTTGGTCATCCCTTGACACTGTCATCAGCTGCATAATTTAGAACACTTCTCAGTGAGCACAAAACACCAAGGACATGCCAGGTCAAGCCAAGGTGCACAAACCTAGCCAAGGTGGCTTAAGAGTATTTGATGTGGGAGTCGTGAACCCCATTGCACACCAGCTTGTATGTCCCAGCCCTTAAAGAACTGATTGAAACAATGTATATAGTTTCATGCCAAGCGCACTTGAAGCTCTTGGAAACCAATTCCTGAGAGTTTGGAGAGCTCATGAGAGCTCATTGCCTGGGCTCTGAGCGTGCAATAGTCATCATCCTTGGAACTTACCAACAAACATGAACTATTAACTGCCCCGGAATCTTCTGCAATTCTATGAGGACTTTGGCTTGCATCCCTTGCCTTACCACGAGAGCATTAAAATGCACCCGCCTCGCGTGGAGCGGCCGCCACCAGAGCCAAGGAGTCCTGACCATTCAAGTCACACGCAGCTGGGAGCACCAGCCTCTTGCATTCTTGGTGCCTAGAATCCAAGGAGTTAACTTGTGTACCTGAAGATCCAAGCACCCAAATTCGTGTAAATTCTTATCTGTAAAACATATTGGTTGTATGAGGATCTCGGTATATTTTAGTTTTCACTCATGCTACGCTTCTCCCCCAAAATTTTACCAGTGCAACAATTCCCTCCTCTCGCAAAACATTGTGCCCCCACCTCGGAGATGTACATCACTGGCTCTAAGCCATCAGAAGAGAAGGTCTTCTCGAAATCGGTGGCCACCAACAAGTCCTACCAGGTCAGGTGCAGGCTGGCTGGTGCGTGCAAGTGGCGTGTCTCAAAGGGAAGGAGAACAAGGGCCTCGTCGTGCCTCATCCACACAACTACCAACATATCACTCATTCTTGCCGACGGAACACCCACGGAATCTCTGGAAAACTGTGTTGCTTGGACATTGCTTCGATAAGTTGCTGAGGTGATTACCAGCTCAAAGACATGAGAAAAGGAATATGATCAGCGCCCAGCTTCACTGGTTGACAGCAGGTTTCTTTTCTTCACCTCCATCCACGAGCCAAAGGATGTAGTGATCTAGAAAAGCCGGTTATATAACTAAGCAAGTAGGGCCCTTTCCTTATCTGGAGAAGCCATGTTTAACTACATAAGTGCAGTAGGGCCCTTTTGGTCTTGCTAACTTGCTACTTTCCCTTCAATACAGTTCAATACATTTCTGATGGTTTCCGATCGGGTCAGGTGCAAGATTTGCTATCAAGTGCAAGAACATATTGTCGCGTCACGCGTCTTTTCACATTAGCTGCCAGGGACAAACCCCTCTTGAGGCGTTACCTGACTGCTCGGCTGCCGTCCTCCTCCACGGGCCAAACTGCGATGTTGGACATCAGCCGGAGACGTCTGGGCAGGCTTCAGGCTCTGTTCCAGTGCCTCTTTTAGTGATGCCCAAACAAATGTAATTACATGCTATTAAGTTTAGATAGTTAAGGCAAAAACCAGTGTCAGAGTGTGTCAGTGTTGTGCAATACAGCCCTTCTGCCGACATATCATTGCAATCAACATGGAATAGATCAAGGTATATTATGGTATATTATCATTCACTGTCCAGTAAGGAGCTCCATAAACTCTACCGTGTTGGACCCTCGAATCCTCCTCCTAGCTGCTGTT